TCTGTCTGGGGATTGGTCCTGCTTTGAGCAGGGGGTTGGACTAGATGACCTCCTGAGGTCCCTTCCAACCCTGAGATTCTATGACTCTGGAATGACCCCCCTGACATCCATGGAAGATGAGTTACAACTGGATTCTGATCTCACTGACCTTGGTGCAAATCTGAAGCAACCCCACTGATGTCAGTGGAACTATAAAAAGCAACAGAGGGTCCTGTGGCACCTTTGAGACTAACAGAAGTACTGGGAGCATAAGCTTTCGTGGGTAAGAACCTCACTTCTTCCTCTGATAGTGGAACTATACTGATGCAAAATGGCCATGTAAGTGAGAACAGGATCAGGTTCCTGGCTTCAATCCCCCTAGAAAGAAGAACTAATGATGGAAACATTGGGGCAAATCTTCACCCGATATATATCACTAGAACTCCATTCACTGCAATGGATCTATGCCAATTCACACCATCTGAGGATCTGACTATTGTATCCAGTCCTCAAGGGGAGTATTGGTCACCCTGGGAGAAGAGAGTTGACTCTACTGGAGGCAATGTATCAATTCACCCAAAGTCATTAGGATGGACCTGAGTGGAGACATTGTATCACACTGACCTTGGTCTAGAGATACCACCTGCGAACAACTGGCCCTCTTGGATACAGTTGTATCAAATCAACCAGGATAGAAGAATTGACAATGGTGGAAACATTGTACCAAGCGCTCTAAAAAGAGGAAGAGTGACTCTATTGGAGACATTGTATCAATGCACCCAAGGAAAGAGAATGGATCTCAGTGGAGACATTGCATCAAACGACCCTGGCCTACCCTCCAGGGAAGAATTGACTCTCTTGGAAACATTGAATCAAATTATTTAAGGAAAGGAGAAATGACCCTGGTGGAAACATTGTATCAAATATGCCAGGTTAAGAGGGGTGTGTGTGTGTGTGTGTGTGTGTGTGAGACCCCACTGGAAACATTGTATCAGATGGACCCTGCTGGAGACATTGTTTCAAATCCTC